GGACCCACTGGCCCACACCAGAGCGTGCGGGGCTGGGCCCGATGCGCGCTGCTCGGGGCTGCCCCACGGCTCTGCCCCGGCTGCAGCACAGAGATAAGGAGCTGGGGGGGGGCGGGGAGCACCGGGGCCGGGCGATAGCGGGGACCGGGAGACACCGACAGGGAGCGGGCACGGGGCCGCTGCGCCCACACAGCCCTGGTGTGCGCCATTGGCGTGCCATGGTCATGCCAGGCTTGCCATGGTCATGTGACTTCATGCCATGGTCATGCCAGGCTTGCCGTGGTCATGTGACATCATGCCATGGTCATGCCAGGCTTGCCATGGTCATGTGACTTCATGCCATGGTCATGCCAGGCTTGCCACGGTCATGTGACATCATGCCATGGTCATGCCAGGCTTGCCATGGTCATGTGACATCATGCCATGGTCATGCCAGGCTTGCCACGGTCATGTGACATCATGCCATGGTCATGCCAGGCTTGCTATGGTCATGTGACACCATGCCATGGTCATGCCAGGCTTGCTATGGTCATGTGACATCATGCCATGGTCATGCCAGGCTTGCCATGGTCATGTGACACCATGCCATGGTCATGCCAGGCTTGCTATGGTCATGTGACACCATGCCATGGTCATGCCAGGCTTGCTATGGTCATGTGACACCATGCCATGGTCATGCCAGGCTTGCCGTGGTCATGTGACATCATGCCATGGTCACGCCAGGCTTGCCATGGTCATGTGACTTCATGCCATGGTCATGCCAGGCTTGCTATGGTCATGTGACATCATGCCATGGTCACGCCAGGCTTGCCATGGTCACGCCACACTTGCTATGGTCATGTAATGGTCCCACCAAGCTTGCCATGGCTGTGCCATCTTTGCCACGATCACGCCATGGTCATGCCATGGTCATGCCACTTTTGCCATGGGTCATGCCATGGTCATGCTATGCACGCAGTGGTCATGCCATGGTCCCACCAAGCTTGCCATGGTTGTGCCATCTTTGCCACGCTCACGCCATGGTCACACCACGATCACGCCATGGTCATGCCACGATCACGCCATGGTCATGCCACGCTCACGCTATGCCCGCAGTGGTCACGCCATGGTCCCACCACGCTCGTGCCACGTTGGCCACAGCTGCCCCACACCGGGGGGGGGGGGGGGGGCGGTGCCGGTCGCCCCTTGCGCGGCCCCAGCGGCTCCTGGTGGTGCCGGGACCGGAGCCGCAGCGCGGAAACCCCGGGGGGGGGGGGGGGGCCCGGGGTCACAAATCCCTGCAGCCTCCCCCGGCACCGGGCCCGGAGCCACCGCCCCCCCCCCCCCCCGCCATGGGGCACGGAAGAGCCGCGAATAACCCCGGGACCGCCCCCCCCCCGCTCCGTGCGGCACCGGCACCGGGACCCCCGGCCCGGCACCGACCCGCGGGGGGGCTTGGGGCTGCCAGAGAGAAACGGTACAGGGTGGGGGGGGGATCTGGGCACAGCCCAACACAGCTCAGCACAGACCAACATGGCCCAACACAGCCCAACACAGGCCAACACAGACCAACACAGACCAACATAGACCAACATGGCTCAACATGGCCCAACACAGCCCACTATAGCCCAACACAGCTCAACATGGCTCAATACAGCCCAATAGAGCACAGCGCAGCCCAACATGGCATAACACAGCCCAACACAGACCAACATGGCCCAACATGGCCCAACACAGCCAAACATGGCCCAACACAGCCCAACACAGCCCAACATGGCCTAACACAGCCCAACATAGCCCAACATGGCCCAACACAGCCCAACACGCCCCAACACAGCTCAACATGGCCCAACATGGCTCAGCACAGCCCAATAGAGCACAGCGCAGACCAACACGGCATAACACAGCCCAACACAGACCAACATGGCCTAACACAGACCAACATAGCCCAACATGGCTCAACGCAGCCCAACACGCCCCAACACAGCTCAACATGGCTCAATACAGCCCAATAGAGCACAGCGCAGACCAACATGGTATAACACAGCCCAACACAGACCAACATGGATCAACACAGCCCAACACAGCCCAACATGGCTCAACACAGCCCAACACAGACCAACATGGCCTAACACAGACCAACATAGCCCAACACGGCTCAACGCAGCCCAACACGCCCCAACACAGCTCAACATGGCTCAATACAGCCCAATAGAGCACAGCGCAGACCAACATGGTATAACACGCCCCAACACGCCCCAACACACCCCAACACAGCCCAACATGGCATGACACAGACCAACACGCCCCAACACGGCTGAACAGGGGTGAACAGGGGTGAACTCAGGTGTCCGCCCCCAGCAGCTGCGCCCTTGGGGGTGCCCTTGGGCCAGGCCTGGGCCAGCGCCAGGGCCGGCGGCGACGCCAGAACCACGGGGCTGGGGGCAGGGACGGGGCAGGGGAGGCTCGGGGCTGGGGGCACCGGGGGGGGGCAGCTGGTACAGGCAGGGCAGCACAGGCTGTGGGTACAGGCAGGGTACAGGCAGGGCAGCACTGGCTGTGGGTACAGGCAGCACAGCACAGGCTGTGGGTACAGGCAGGGCAGCTGGTACAGGCAGCTGGTACAGGCAGCGGAGAGGGGCAGTGGGTACAGGCAGCAGAGCACAGGCTGTGGGTACAGGCAGGGTACAGGCAGCAGAGCACAGGCTGTGGGTACAGGCAGGGCAGCACAGGCTGTGGGTACAGGCAGCTGGTACAGGCAGCACAGCACAGGCTGTGGGTACAGGCAGGGTACAGGCAGCACAGCACAGGCTGTGGGTACAGGCAGGGTACAGGCAGGGCAGCACAGGCTGTGCGTACAGGCAGCGGAGAGGGGCAGTGGGTACAGGCAGCTGGTACAGGCAGCACAGCACAGGCTGTGGGTACAGGCAGGGTACAGGCAGCTGGTACAGGCTGTGGGTACAGGCAGCTGGTACAGGCAGCGGAGCACAGGCTGTGGGTACAGGCAGCTGGTACAGGCAGCGGAGAGGGGCAGTGGGTACAGGCAGCAGAGCACAGGCTGTGGGTACAGGCAGCACAGCACAGGCTGTGGGTACAGGCAGGGTACAGGCAGCACAGCACAGGCTCTGGGTACAGGCAGCTGGTACAGGCTGTGGGTACAGGCAGCTGGTACAGGCAGCGGAGCACAGGCTGTGGGTACAGGCAGCTGGTACAGGCAGCGGAGAGGCAGTGGGTACAGGCAGCAGAGCACAGGCTGTGGGTACAGGCAGAGCACAGGCGTGGGTACAGGCAGGGTACAGGCAGCACAGCACAGGCTCTGGGTACAGGCAGGGTACAGGCTGTGGGTACAGGCAGGGTACAGGCAGGGTACAGGCAGCAGAGCACAGGCTGTGGGTACAGGCAGGGTACAGGCAGCTGGTACAGGCAGCTGGTACAGGCAGCACAGCGCTGGCTGTGGGTACAGGCAGGGTACAGGCAGCTGGTACAGGCAGCACAGCGCTGGCTGTGGGTACAGGCAGGGTACAGGCAGGGTACAGGCAGCAGAGCACAGGCTGTGGGTACAGGCAGTGGGTACAGGCAGGGTACAGGCAGCACAGCGCTGGCCGGGTGTTGGCAGCGCCCGATGCCGGAAGCCGCAGGCAACGCCCTGGAAAGTGCCTGAGGGCAGAGACAGGCACGGATGGGGCCATGGCAGGGAGGGAGGGATGGATGCATGGGGGATGGAGGCATGGGGGATGGATGGATGATGGATGCAGGGGTGGATGCAGGGATGGATGGATTGATGGATGCAGGGATGGAAGAATGATAGAGTGATGCCAATGGATGGAGAAAGGGATGGAAGAATGATGATGGATGAGGGATGATGGAGGGATGATGGAGGGATGACGGACGGATGGATGGATGGATGGATAGATGGAGGGATGCAGGGATGGATGCAGGGATGGATGGATTGATGGATGCAGGGATGGATGCAGGGACAGACAGAAGGATGGATGCAGGGATGGAGGGATGCAGGGATGGAAGAATGATAGAGTGATACCAATGGATGGAGAAAGGGATGGAAGAATGACGATGGAGGGATGATGTATGAGGGATGATGGATGAGGGATGATGGAGGGGTGATGGAGGGATGATGGATGATGGATGAGGGATGATGGATGAGGGATGATGGAGGGATGAGGGATGATGGATGAGGGATGATGGATGAGGGATGATGGAGGGATGAGGGATGATGGATGAGGGATGATGGAGGGATGAGGGATGATGGATGAGGGATGATGGAGGGATGAGGGATGATGGATGAGGGATGATGGAGGGATGAGGGATGATGGATGATGGATGATGGATGATGGATGAGGGATGATGGATGAGGGATGATGGAGGGATGATGGAGGGATGATGGAGGGATGGTGGAGGGATGATGGATGATGGATGATGGATGAGGATGACATGGATGGATCAATGCCCGTGGCTGCAGCTGCAGTGTCTCCCCTGCGCAGCCTCATTGGACCCTGCTGCACCTCTGCCCACTCCTGCCCTAGGACCCCCCGGGTGTCCCCTGAGCCCCAGCGAGGCCCCAACCAGGCAGCCCCTGCCCGCCCCCACAATGGGACGTGCCCGTGCCCCCCCCCCCATTCCCCCTGTCACCAGATCCCTGTGCCCAGAGGTATTCGTCACCTCCAGAGCCGGGGACAGCAGCTGCTGGGGGGCACCGGCGCCGGGGGGGGGGCGAGGGGGCATCGGGGGGCCATGGGGGGGCCATGGGGAGGGCTTGGCATGGGGGGATGGGGGGTGTTGCCGGTTTGGGGGTACGGAGTCACGGAGCTGAGCCGCATCATCACCCCCCCCCCCCGGAACCCCCCTTGAGCCCCCCAACACCTCCCGTCCCATAGGGGGCGGCCCCCCACGAGGGAGGGGGGCGGCGGGGTGGGCGGGGCGAGGGGGACCCGAAGGGAGCCGAGCGGAGCCGAGCCGAGGGGAGCCGAGCGGAGCCGGGCGGAGCCGAGCGGGGCCGAACTCACCCGAGTCGCCCGTCCCCTCGCGCCGCCGCCGCCAGTACCAGACCAGTGCGAGGGACGCGGCGTGTCCCGCGGCCACCAGCGACGGGAACAGCGACCCCGTGTCCTCCATGGGGCCGGGGCTCGGCTCGGCTCGGCTCGGCTCGGCTCGGCTCGGCTCGGCTCCGGGGGCAGGGACACCCCAGTGCCCGCCCCCCCCGGCCCTTAACCCCTCCCGGTCCGCGGGGGGGGGGGTTGGACGCCTCCTGCCTCCTCCTGCCCGCGGTACCGGCAGGACCGGCCCCCCCCCCCCCCCCCCTTCCCGGTTCAGATCCCGGCTTTTTATATCCCGACCGGACGGCGCCAGCCCCCGCCCCCCCCCCCCCCGTGTCCCCTCCCCCCCCCCCCCCACGTACCCGGCACGACCTTCATGGGCACGGGCAGGGAACGGGCAGGGCGCAGGCAGCGGAGCGAGGGCGCAGCGCGGCTCCCCCGGTGGCGGCGGCGGCGGCGGGGGGGTGCGGGGGGGGGGGGGGGTGCGGGGGGGCGGGCGCTGATATAAATAACCGGAGCCCGTCAGCGAGCCCGAGTTAGAACATGACACGGGACCGGGGGGGGGGGGGGAGGGTGAGATGGGGGGGACGGGGGGGGACCCCCCGATTCCCCGGTACCGGAGGGGTGAACCCGGCCGCCACCATGGGGGGAGCGTGGGGGGGAGGGGGTTTACTGACGCCGGGGGCCATCGGAGCCCATCCTCGTGGCGCCGGGGCCCCGACCCCTGCCCCTTGGACCCGCTCCCGTCCGGCGGGGACCCCCCCAGCTCCTCGCTCCCGGCGCGACCCCGTCCCCGCCGGCCCCGGCTCCAGGCCGGGTTTTCCCGCAGGGGCTGCGCGGAGCGGAGCGAAGGAAAACCCGGAGGCGGAGCCGCCGCTGCGGCGGAACGGAAGCAGCCGGGAGAGGAGCCGGGAGCGGACCCGGCCCCCCCCGTCCAGCCCCATTGAGACGCCCCACGAGCACCGCGGCTCCAGGAGCAGGAAGTTGGGGGGGGGGTGTGGGGCAGCCCCACGGCCCCCCCATGGGGCCGGTGCCGGTGACTCACGGCGCTGGCAGCGCCTGGTGGAAACTTGGAGCGGTGGCGTCGGGGCTGAGTCACGGAATGGGGGGGGGGGGGGGGGCCCTCACCGCGGCCTCGCGGCGCCGCCCGGGCTGATGGCGGGGGAGGGGGATGAATGGGGGGGGGCTCCAGCTGTCGCGGATCGGGTGTCCCCGAGGGGGGGAGGGGGGAGCACGGGATGGGGACCCCCCCCCCCCCCAGCAGGGAGCCCCCAGCCCAGCACCAGCCCTGCCCCCCCCTCACCCCCCCCCCAGCTGCCGCTGTCCGTCCGCCTGCCCGCCTGCTCCGCCTCGGGGTGCAGCCCCCCCCCAGTGCACCCCCACTGCATGGCCCCAGTGCCACGGTGCAGCACCCCAATGGCACAGACCCCATGGTACGGACCCCCCCCATAGTGCAGCACCCCAATGGCACAGACCCCATGGCACGGACCCCCATAGTGCAGCACCCCAATAGCACAGCCCCCCCACGGGTCCGGACCCCCCATAGTGCAGCACCCCAATGGCACAGCCCCCCATGGCACAGCCCCCCCATAGTGCAGCACCCCAATAGCACAGCCCCCCATGGCACGGACCCCCCATAGTGCAGCACCCCAACAGTGCAGCACCCCAATAGCACAGTCCCCCACGACACGGACCCCCCCCCATATTACAGCACCCCAACAGTGCAGCCCCCCATGGCACGGACCCCCCCATAGTGCAGCACCCCAATAGCACAGCCCCCATGGCACGGATCCCCCCCATAGTGCAGCACCCCAATAGCACAGCCCCCCATGGCACGGACCCCCCCATATTACAGCACCCCAATAGCACAGCCCCCCATGGCACGGACCCCCCCATAGTACAGCACCCCAACAGCACAGCCCCCCATGGCACGGACCCCCCCATAGTACTGCACCCCAACAGTGCAGCCCCCCATGGCACGGACCCCCCCCAGGGGGTGGGCCCTGACCGTGCCCATGGATGTGGGGGGGTCCCAGAGACCCCCAAGTGCTGGGAGGTCCCCCAAGGGCAAGTGGGGGGGACACAGCAGCAACCCCCCCCCCATAATTGGGGTCCGCACCCCATGATGGGGTCCCCCTGCCATGGGCTGGTGATACCTGGAACCGGGCTGGGCTGGGAGGGGCCCGAGGGGACGGTGATGGGCTCCAGTTCGGGCTCTTCCTTCCTGCGGTAGAGCCGGTCCTCACCGGTGGGACCAGCACCGGCACTGGTGGCACTGGTGCTACTGGTGTTACTGGTGTTGGTGTCAGGCACGTGGCTTGTGGTGCTGGCAGCATGGGCCTTACTGGTACCAGTACTGGCACTGGTGGCACTGGAGTCAGGCACATGGCGGGTGGTGTTAGCAGCACGGGCTCTACCGGTATCTGCACTGGTGTTGCTGGTGTCAGGCACATGGCGGGTGGTGTTAGCAGCACGGGCCTTATTGGTACCAGTACTGGCACTGGTGTCGCTGGCATCGGGCTTGCGGCTGGCAGTGCTGGCGGCACGGGCCTTACTGGTGTCACTGGTGTTGGGCGCATGGCAGGCGGTGCTGGTGGCACGGGCTTTACTGGTGCTGGTGTCACTGGTGTCACTGGTGTCACTGGCATCAAGCTTGTGACTGGCGGTGCTGGCGGCATGGGCCTTACTGGTGCTGGTGGCACTGGTGTCACTGGTGTCAAGCTTGTGGCTGGCAGTGCTGGTGGCGTGGGCCTTACCGGTGCTGGTGTCACTGGTGTCAAGCTTGTGGGTGGCGGTGCTGGTGGCACGGGCCTTACCGGTGCTGGTGTCACTGGTGTCAAGCTTGTGGGTGGCGGTGCTGGTGGCACGGGCCTTACTGGTGTCACTGGTGTTGCTGGCATCAAGCTTGTGGTAGGTGGTGCTGGTGGCACGGGCCTTACTGGTGTCACTGGTGTCAAGCCTGTGGCTGGCGGTGCTGGTGGCACGGGCCTTACTGGTGTCACTGGTGTCAAGCCTGTGGCAGGCGGTGCTGGTGGCACGGGCCTTACTGGTGTCACTGGTGTTGCTGGCATCAAGCTTGTGGCTGGCAGTGCTGGTGGCGCGGGCCTTACTGGTGCTGGTGTCACTGGTGTCACTGGTGTCAAGCCTGTGGCTGGCAGTGCTGGCAGCACGGGCCTTACCGGTGCTGGTGTCGCTTGTGTCGGGCACGTGGCGGGCGGTGCCGGCGGCTCGCACCCTGCCGCTGTTCCCGGTGTTCCCGGCGCTGGTGGCGGCGCTGCGGTGGCTGCGCTGCAGCGGGCGCGGGACGGTGCCGGGCGGGAGGTGCAGGACGCGCCGCAGGTGCTCGATGCCCGCATCCGTCAGGTACCAATAGAAGTGCCTCCAGGCGAAGGTTTCCCGCACGAGCCCGCGCGCCCGCAGCGAGCCCATGGCCCGCACCACGGCCACGTTGGGCACCCCGGGGAGCTGCGGGTGCGGGCGCCGCGGCCGCGGGTCCTTCTCGGCCACCAGGACCCCGTCCCGGAAGAGCAGCTCCAGGATGGAGCGGAGCCGCTCCAGCGGCATCAGCATCCCCGCCACCATGGCCCGGAGCGGGGCGGAACGGAGCGGGGCACCCGGCTCGATGCGCGGCACGGCCCGGGGCAGATCGGACCAGACCCCGGTGCGCTATGGGATGGCTCGGATCGGAACAGCTCAGTGCAGACTGCGAGCCTCAGCACAGCCCAGTACAGCCCAGTATAGATCAGCACAGCCCGGTACAGCCCAGTACAGATCAGCACAGCCCAGTACAGCCCAGTACAGATCAGCACAGCCCGGTACAGCCCAGTACAGATCAGCACAGCCCAGTACAGCCCAGTACAGATCAGCACAGCCCGGTACAGCTCACTACAGTCCGGTACAGCTCACTACAGCCCAGTACAGCCCACTACAGTCCAGTACAGTTCACTACAGTCCAGTACAGCTCAGCGCACCCGCTCGACTCACGGCTCGGGACGGCCCCGCACAGCCCCGTACAATGGGACACGCTCGGCTCACGGCTCCGTGTGCTGCAGCTCGGGTTGGCTCGGCTGAGCTCGGCTGGGCTCGGCTCGGCTCGGCCCGGCTCGGCTCGGCTCGGCTCGGCCCCTCAGGGCTCGGCTCCGCTCGGCTCCGCTCGGCTCGGCTGGGCTCGGCTGGGCTCGGCCCGGCTCGGCTCGGCTCCGCTCGGCTCCGCTCGGCTCCGCTCGGCTCAGCTCGGCCCAGCTCGGCCCAGCCCGTCCCGTCCCGTCCCGTCCCGTCGCGGTCGCCCTCCTCTCCCCGCAGCCGGCGGCGGCTCCACCCCGGGGCCGGGTTTTGCCGGGGGGGGGTGCGAACGGGGGGGACCCAGCCCAGATTTAGCGCCCCTCCCCCCACTGGGGATCACCCCCTCCCTTCCCCCTCCCCCCCCCCTCCTCGGACCGCAGCATCCCCGGCCGCGGGGGGGGGGCACGGGCAGGGCCGGGCTCCGGGCTCCGCCAACGTCAATGTTTGCTCCGCTGGTGCCCGGTGGGGGCAGGGACGGGGCCGTTCCCCCCCCCCTCCCCTCGGGTCCCCCCCGCCCATCCCCGCGCCTCGGGGCTCGCAGGTGGGGCCCAGGCAGCTGCTGCCCCCCCCCCCACCTCACCCAGCGGGGCCAGGACCGGCTCGGCGGGACCGGGGTGCTCCAGGGCCCCTCGGGGTGTCTGAGCCCTTGGGGTGCTCGGGGGGCCCCGGGTCCTTGGGGGTTCAAGGGGGCTCAGGGGGGCTCAGGGTGTTTGGGGTCCCTGAGGAGCCCAGGGGTTCCCCTGGTCCTTGGGGGGCTCAGGATGCCCGTGGGTCCCTGAGGGTCCTGGGGGTGTCTGAGCCCTTGGGGTGCTCGGGGGGGCCCCGGGTCCTTGGGGGTTCAGGGGGGCTCAGGGTGTTTGGGGTCCCTGAGGGGCCCAGGGGTTCCCATGGTACTTGGGGGGCTCAGGATGCCCGTGGGTCCCTGTGGTCCTTGGGGGTTCAGGGGGGCTCAGGGTGCTCAGGGTGTTTGGGGTCCCTGAGGGGCCCGGGGTGTCCCCTGGTCCTTGGGGGGCTCAGGATGCCCGTGGCCCCTGAGGGTCCTGAGGGTGTCTGGGGGATGCCCCATC